CCGTGCTCATTGAATATTATTAGCATTTTCTTGTTCTTGTACAATTTTGAGTGCATCAGAAAGCACAGACTTATATTCCTTAAATATTTGCATTGATTCATTATCATTGTCATCAATTGAATTAGTAACCTCTATCGTATTATCTATTTTTAAATCAAATATAATAATAAAATTAAAATATATGAAGATCAAATATATAAAAAAAACAAGATTTTTACCTGCATTTAAAGATTGCGCTTATTAAATAAATTTAGTGTTAGTATTAAATTTTGAATAATAACGATAATGATAAATTAAATCATATTAAGATCGTTAAATCATATTAAGATCGAATATATAAAAAAACAAGTTTTAATCTAGAAAGGCTTGATTTTTACCTTTATTTGAAGATTGCACTTATTAAATAAATTTAGCATATTAGATTTGAATAATAACAATAAATTAAATTATATTAAGATCGAATATATAAAAAAAACAAGTATTAACTCGATTTTTACCTGTATCTGAATGCATTAACTGCATAGAAGATTGCGCTTGTTGAATAAATTTAGATTTTGCTGGTAAAAATATAAACAAATAAATTTCTTGTCATTGGACAGTTTTAAAAAAGGATATATCAATCATAAATTGAGATGCTTGAATCAAATATTTACACAAAAAAAATCAGTTGATCAAAAATCCTGAATATCCACAAATCCATTTTTCAACATCTTAATGTAATTATGATTAATTGGCTTTTTGCTTAATGTAATCCATTCTTTTTTAAATTCTTTACGCCAAGAAGGCATTTCACATTTAGAATAATACTTATTATATTGTTGTTGATGGTGTGGAAGTAAGTGAGTTACAATAATATATGCTAATAAGTCGAGACGTGGTCTAAAAAATCTTGGTAAAAAATCTCGCTTTAAAACCTTCCAGTGTGATTCACACAACATAGTAGTATGAAAAATACAAATCTTGTTAGATGCTAAATGGGCCCACATATTCCAGATTTCTTTACGATACCAATGTTCCTATAGATACGTCCAAAGAAGTTTTAAATTGTGATTAACACAAAATTCGTAAATTTGTTTTGTTGATTGTTCCCAGATATCATTTGCTGACAAATAAAATCTATTAATATTCGAAATTAAAGAATAAAGATGCATATAACTTTCCATCATCTTTAAAATTTTAGAATGTAACTCTTTAGGACAAAAAAAAAATTTTTTTTTTGTACTAAAGTTAATTGTGATGGCGGTGTTGGATAAAATTCAATATCAACAAATTTAAGTATTTGATGCACTGAATATGAACTATAATTAATCGTTTTTGGGTAAACATTGTTAGCAAAACGTTTTTTAATTGCTTTCTTCATATGCCAAAAGCAAATTTGAATTTTGGCATTTGACCATGTTTTTCGCGCAGCAGATATCTGTCCGAAATCTTTGTCAGTTAAAAAAAAATTAACATTATTTAATCCCAAATTAAATAATGATTAAAAAATAAAGTTAAAATATCTGTCTGTACTCCATCAATTTTTTTTGACCCCTCAATAAACAAATATGCAAGTGCAAATCCTGATCCATCATAGTAACTGATAACTGAATACAACTCATAACCTAAAGCATTCGTCTTGTATGTAGCATCTGTAACTATTTCCTTATTATTTTTCAATAATTCAAAAAACAGTATATTGAATATATTAATTGTTGATCAAAATAACTTTATATTCATTTTCTTCTACTAATATTTTAGTAGAAATTAATTGATTATCGTCACAAAGATATTCTTTTTTTAAAAAATAAGTCCACCATGCATGAACTTGTTTTTGAGTTAGGTTTGGATGCTGCTGTTCTAATTGTCTAAAAATATCTGCAGGCATTTGATGAATATTTTTTTTTATTTCAGCTTTAATGTCATTAGATGTATTGAATCTATCGAGACGCTTATGAAGTACAGTGTGACAAAGATCAATTGTTGCTATATTTATTTTATATTAAGTAATATTTTTAAAACACCATTGCAATCAAAATGTTCAATATATCCTCTATCACGCTGCTTGTCAAGATTTTCATGTTTTCGAGAACGTTTAGCTAAAGTACAACTTTGAGAACAATTATATAAAAATGTATAGTGATTAGAATTTTTTTCAGATCTATAAACCAGATGATAACTACAATATATAAGTATAAGATTCTTATTAGTAAATAAATTATTTAATTTTAAATACGTATATATTATTGTTACGTATATGTAATACTTACATATAATAGTATCCATCAGCAGATCCTACTATTTCGGCAATTGTTTTTGCAAGTTCATGAGGTTCACTTTTTAAGGAAATAGTAGATATTTTGTACAAAAATTCTACACCAGAATTTTCATTTTCAACAAATTCATTATTTCCAACTTTTAGAATAGACTCAAATAGTGCTTTTTGCATTGTTTTAGGTTCAACAACATCCAAATCATAAGATACGTTATTGTTAAGCTTTGTATCATGGTAAGTTTGTAATCTTTTTGCCGACATTCATGACATGTTTTTGTAGGTTTTCCAGTTTTACTAACAAAAGCAGTTGTATCAAATCTTTTATCACATCGACCACACTTGTACAAGTTATTAGAAATCGTAGTCATAATCGTAGTCATTTTGTAAGAGAAGCAAATTTTTTTTTTAACGATATTTTTATTATAAATATTAATGATAAGTATAGTGATCTAAATGTAACACAATGTTTCAGTACATAATAATCGAATAGTTTTTTTTTTAACGATATTTTTATTATAAATATTAATGATAAGTATCTGAAATCTAATATATATATATCGTGACTAAGCATGTAAAATACTATTGGTCAATGCGTAGTACAAATCTTGTGCTACCGAACATTTTGTTGGGGTAGTTATACTATACGTTCATGCATGTGTCTATGTAAATTCTTGGTGGGAATAAAGTTTCATATAAATTATATAAAATGCTAATTAAAAGTATCAATTAAAGTAATTAAAAGTATCAATTAAAGCAATTATAAGTATCAAATTAAAGCAATTATAAGTATCAAATGAAAGTAGTTAAAAAAGTGTTTTTTTTTCTTTAGCGTTAGCATTAAAATTTAATTAGTAAAACCCGGGTTTTGTTCTGGACTACCCGATCACTACCCGGATGACCGTTTCAGAGCACTAGTGTTAACCAAGAATAAGCGTTTTGATGCTAATTTCTGTATTAATCTTGAGACGTGTGTTACGAACTTTTTATAAAGGTCCCATTATAAAGTTTTCCTTAATTCATAGTAAGGGACACCTCCACAACTAAACATATAAATTAAAACAAATGATAGTACAGTCGTCCCTCGTTAATATCAACCCCGTTAATATCAACATAGGCTATACAATGAACACTTATATATTAAAATTATATTGAAATTCCCTCATATATATCAACTTTAATATGTTCCCTCATTATTATCACTATCAACATGAATATAAGAGCGATCCAAATAGGTTGATATTAATGAGGGACGACTGTAGTACTGTATATTTGTTCAGTTACGATCTTATAGTTTTACTACGGCACTAGCGACAGATGTTTTATGCAATAATGTAGAGTCATTACATCCTTTCATTTATGTACCTTCATTGATGCAGTAATTTGGCTTCCTAGAACACGTGAAATGCATGAACTTTGAATAATATTAATACGTATCGCACTACGTACAATATTTCAATATTGTTAAAAATCATTATCGATCATAATTCAAGTTAGTAATTTGCTGAACTTTAGTATTTGTAAATACTTCCAGAGAGCTAACGAACAACGGTAATTTATTTTTTAAAAATCTTTCGTCTGAATTACCAGCTCTGGAAACTGTACCTCGAAATAACGACCTGGTGCGTTATTTCGCACAAATACGGTATAATAATCCTGACCAATGATTAAAAAATTGGCTAAACCTAATTTTCAACTAACCATCAATTTTTTTAAAATTAATAATTATTGTCGCAGATCATAAATCGGATTAAAATGAAATGAGGGTTTCTATTTGACCCTCTTATACTTGTTTATTATAAAACCTGCTTCTAAACCCTAATCCTAACCATAAAAAAAATGCACCCCAAAAATTTGTATTTTTCGGTGGCTTGTCTATTTTACACTATCCCTCATTTCATTTTAATCTGATTTTCATTTTAATCTGCCACAATTATTAAATAAAGTGACAAGATTAAGATAAGGTAACCCGCTAGAGGCGTGATTATGGTTAATTTACTGTATATTCAAGAGTTTTATGCTGGAGGGATTTAGGTAGTTTGATTAACAACGACTTTAATCGCTGCGGGAGCGGAGGAGGCTTTAGTTAATGCATTTATCACACTCACAGCAGGCTTCTCCTTAAGGGATAGGAATTTCCTTCAATCTTAACAGTTAACCCAACATTCATTCGCACTGCTTCGCAAACATTTCCTGTGAACGTTCTTTGATTCGCGTTTGTATCACTTCGCTGGAACATTCCGCTTGTGATTCCTAAGCTGAATCTGCAATGGCCGAAAATTCTATAACGATCTATGATCACGAGATTTTACTACGCCTAATTTCGGAAATCTCTGCAGATCACGATGTCATTTTCATCTAAATATAATATAATTAATAGAAGTCTAGATCTTTGGAATTTTCCTTGATTATCATCACAAATATCATGTCACAAAGGCAGACTATAAATAACTCGTTATACCAAAATCCTTTCTAGAAAATCTACAAAGAAAATATGCCAAGATGATACGTAGCGATACGTAGAAATTTATCGTTAATAAATTTTATTATTAAGGATTATTTATAATTGGTGAATAAATTATCGTTACGCGATCGCATGGGCACCGATAAATTCACATGTTAACAGAACAAGCATTACTTAGCGTTAGATTCTACCACAAGCTATAACTAACCCTGGAAACAAAAAAACTTGTAGATTCCATAAATGATTAACAAATTCCCGAAAAATACAATTTCAAGATCAAAGTCCTGTTTAAATCATTTATTCGAGAAGAATTTCAGAATTTCACGTTAGTATTTTTATAGAAAATAAATCAAAAAAATAACTCAAATTTATGATGAAAATAGAACTATACTTTTTTTGTGTAAAACAAGATACGTAATAGTATTTATGTTGTAAAATTAGTACTTCAGAGTGTTTATTTTATATAACCCATACTTTAACCCTAACATTATAGGAAATTTTAAATCAATGAACATTTACGTCGAAATATTCAAAAGATATATATAAA